AAAAATCATTAGGAATTTCAAGATGGTGACAGCAGAGCATTGAGCCAAGCGCAGGGCTCTTCTGAGTACGTGGCCCGTGCGATGGCATTGGCTGCACGCCCATGGAGCCAGCTTTGTCTGCAGGGACTGAGCATGGCCGGTGACATGGCACTGGCTCCGCTGAAATGTGTTGAGGGCGGTCATGCAGCCTGAACTCCCCAAAATCAGCAGTTCATGCTCCAAGGTGCTGGCGGGAGGTGGCCTGGCAGGGGACACAGGTGTCCCTGGCGTGCCCTGCTCCAGATGAGGGTCAAAAAGTCTCCATCTTTACCCAAATCAGATACTCTGTCTGTGGCCAATGTGTCCTTTCTCAGTGTCACCTAAGCTAGCTGCAGGATGACAGCTCTAACAATGCACGTATGCTCTACAAATTAGAATTTCATTATGATGATTTTGAAGTATTCACTGTGGAAAACATTTGATTGCATTCAAAATACCAACATTATTATAAAAATTTTAATGGTAATATTTGTCAGCCAAAGGCCTTATATATCCTTGAAATAGAATTTCTTTAGATAATTTCAACTCTTACACATTTCTGAGTGGTTGCAAAAGTGGTTTAAGAACTGTGTTACTTATGTAGGTGAACAAAATTTCTCTTCGCCGGTAAACATCAAGAATTCAAGCGCTCGCCTTATAAAAAGGTTGGGTCGGGAATGGTGCAAAGCTGTCAAGCATTAAACTGAACACTAAAACGAGATGGTCAATGTTTGACAGCAGAGTAGGGTGAATATAGTTAAGTACTATACTTGCGAGATGGATGCCTTAGCGACCCTGACTTGCATGGGTTGCATGCATTATATACGTGTACCAACATTTCACACGTGCCCCATACATTAGTCCAAATAAAAACCAATATCTGCAGTTTAAGCCACCCTCTCCCCCTGCCAAAAAAAAGATATAGTCAAGGAAGCAAGTTCAAGTTTCTCATGAAACATTTGGAAGTTTTCTACAAAGTCAATATTTAATATCTACCCTATTACTCTGCATTTTATTTTTACCTTAATTATAAAATGTAAATCGAGTGTAACGGATTGCGTCGGATGGGGTGTAGGAGGAGCAGAGTTTACCCAGCTTACCCCAGATCTGTGGTGTCGTTCTGTGTGTGCTACAACATACAAACTTCTGGGAAGCACGGAGCAACAGGTGTGAAGAGCTTCCTCGCACCTAGCCAGCAGTCGGTAGTATTAATTACGCAGCTAACGTATTGTTGTCAGCATGATTATACGGATAGCAGGGAGAAAGCTCTGAGCTCGTTGTCAGAAACTGTGAGTTGCAGGCATGCTTCTCTTGTAAACTACCTCTCGACTCTAAATGAGCCTGTTTATCTTTTTTATGTCTGCTCAGAGCGTGGATAATATCGTCTGCTCATCCTGCCCCACGTGTGATGTTACAAGACTCAAAGGAGAAGCTCCGCATCAAAGACCCCTGAGAAATAGGAACATTCTGCTGGCTCTGTTATTTCTCTTCTCCAAACTCAGCGCTGGCCCACCACACGTGGCTCTTTAAATCTAAATTGATTAGAACGAAATAAGACGGAAAATCCAGTGTCTCCTTCGTGCTAAGCACACCTTGAGTGCTCAAAGCCACGTGTGACTAATGACCGTTATACTGGACGGCTCAGCTGAATGGCTTCACTGCCCCTAATACACAATGGCCACCCCCATGCTTCTGCTTCCTGCCCTCTTATGGATCAGGTGGGGAAGATTTAAGTTCTTTGTATAGTCTTAACCCACAATAGGTGTGAAATATCAAACATGCAGATCTCTGCTCCCTATGGTATGGGGAGATACCACTGCCTGTAGGATACATATTCCAATGGGCTTGCCTTGACCCCCCTGCAGCCTCTTCCCCAGACCCTCAGGCATTTTTAGATGGCCGGAAGGGCTGGAGTCTTAGAAACAATATTGGAGGAAAACAAAGCTAGCAGGTGCAGCCAGGATGAAATCCAGGTCTGCGGCTTCGTAAGCGTGAAGTTCTTCCCATCCTGACCGCCATCTTGGTCTTCATCATCACCAAATGTACATCTTCAGATTTTTTATTTAATTAGCGCTCATGGACTTTCCGATTTTTTTTCATACTGGTTAAAACAAAAGCCAAGTGGTGGCAGTCTGCAATGACTACCACACCATTCCCTACTCATGCCCATAAGTGGGCATCTGTTAGGCAAACCACAGGTGAGAACAACTTTACTTAAGTTTCTGAATGCCACGTGTCTAGCCAGTGAGTTTTAGGAGCTTGCTAGAGTCAATACTGCTGCTATAAGGACGCTGTGGAGAAGAAATATGGGATTAGTGCTGTGTGGCATATTCAATTGTGGCTAAAAGTAGCTCCATGCCACTTCCCTCTTCCATCTAGGACATAAGACTGTGGGCCAGGGTTTATTTCCATGGCCGCCTTCAGGGGAATCTTCTCCCTGATCCATTTGGGAACAAAACCATGTTTCTCTTGGCTCTTGGTTATTATTCAGTCCAATCAGCTGGTGCAGTTTCATTACCTTTGGAAAAAGCTCTAAATAGAATCATCAACTCCATGAACTCCCAGTGACTACATTTTCTTTTTATTTACAGAGGGTAGTTGCAAAGACAGAGCTGATGCAGTGCAGTTGACTGCACAACTAACAGTTCTACTGCTGCCCTTTTAAAGTCATGGTGTTGGCAATATTTTTTATAGACAAAAATTTGACACGTAAGGCTTTTAAAAGCTTAGTAATGCTTAGGAATAAAAACTGACTTGGGAATATCTTTTTAAACACCATATATACCTTCAGTGAATAATAGATTGAGAAAAATCACTGACTCTCCTCTTAACCTTCCTAACTGATATCGATGAGGTTGATGGAATGCTCAAACATTTTTACATGAATCGCAGAAGCCATTATTTCATAATACAATACAATGTTGGAGACCCATTTTGTGGCTATAGAATTAATGATCTGGCCGGGCGCGGTGGCTCACGCCTATAATCCTAGCACTCTGGGAGGCTGAGGCGGCTGGATTGCTCGAGGTCAGGAGTTCGAAACCAGCCTGAGCAAGAGCGAGACCCCATCTCTACTATCAATAGAAGGAAATTAATTGGCCAACTAATATATAAAGAAAAAATTAGCTGGGCATGGTGGCGCATGCCTGTAGTCCCAGCTACTCGGGAGGCTGAGGCAGGAGGATCACCTGAGCCCAGGAGTTTGAAGTTGCTGTGAGCTAGGCTGACGCCACGGCATTCACTCTAGCCTGGGCAACAGAGAATGATCTGAAACAGAGTCCAACTTTTTAAGCCTGGTTCTAGCTAGTTGTTTAGCTTTGACATATCCTTTTTACTTCTTTGTGATCCAGTTCTTCCTTTGCTAAATGGGAATAATCCTTTTTTTTTTCTAACTTGCATGGATATTGTGAAGTCCAATAGGGGAGAAGAGATGAGAAAGTGCTCTGACAATATTAGAACCTGCAACCCTAATGCAGCTTGTTTGTTCTCAGTGTTCTGTGCTTTCTATCTCTCCCATTCTTCTTGGGTACTTAACTAGGGATCTAAGAAATGGATCTTTCTGGTACTTGGACATGGCTCTGCATTTTATCTGTAAAAGCCGAGAGAGGGTGGAAGGACAGTAGGCGTGTGTGCAAATCGCACACTTTGGGGGTGTCTGGGGACTTGGTTCTCTGCGATAGCAATGCTGCCAGCAACAGATGTCTTGACAATCAGGAGTTGGAGACACGAGTGTGAAGGTCCCTACCCGGGCCCCCGTCCCCACTCCCATCTCTCGGCCTCTCTCTTTTGCATAAATCTTTGCATCCCTGAGGGGAGTCCCATTGCTCACGAAGTGCCCAGAAGGAGCACATGAGCATCCAAGACTGTTCTCCCACAGACTCACCGTGGCCAGCCCACTTTATCAAACACACCCTGGGCATGGTTAGGTGAGCTTTGCTCTGTGATTCAAACCAGACAAATGCAATTGAGAACATGGTGCTGTTTCCCTCGGGTCTCCAACTTGGACAGGGCCACTTGCTGGGGGTGGGACATGCCAATCTGCTAAACTCCTTACTCTCTAAATAGACTTTATTTACTTGATGCAACTTTGCTGTATTCGTTTCTCGTGGTTGCCATAACAAAGTACTACAAACTGGGTGGCTTCGACAGTAGAAACTAATTGTCTCGCAGTTTTGGAGGCCGGAAGTTTGAGATCAAGGTATCCACCCAGTTGGTTCCTTCTGTTCTGTGCCTCTCACCTGGCTCCCAGTGGTTTGCAGGAATCTTTAGCATTTCCTGGCTTGTAGAAGCATCGCCCTGATCTACACCTCCCTCTTCCTGTGGTGTTTTCTGTGCATTTCTGTGTGTCTCTGTGTCTGAATTTCTTTCCCTTTGTTATAAGGACATTAGTCATATTGGATGGGGGTGCATCTGAACTTGACCTCATCTGAACTTAATGACATCTGCAAAGACCCTATTTCCAAATAAGGGCACATTCTGAGATAATAAGGGTTTGGGCATAAAACATGTGGTGGGAACATACTTCAACCCATGACACTTGCCTTCAAGCAAATAATGTTTATCTGGATAGAGGGTATGAGAGGGTTAAGAAAAAAAAAGGGAAGAAATGACAAATTGGAGCAAGGAGCAAGAAGGAGAGGAGTGATACATCCAAAGGAAATTGGAAGGAAGAGGTACAAATAGGCCAACTGCCCAAGGGTAGGGCTCAGGCCTCTTTTTTTGTTCAAGTATATGCTAATGGACTTTCTTGGTAATTCCTAAGAGAACAGAAGAGGAAACAGAATTTGTGATTTCTTGGCAGGAAAGCAGCGACCCAGGCTGCAGTGGGCACTGTGGTGGGACCCCCTTCAGCACACAGATGGTCAGTCCCCAGCCGCTTGGAGGGACGACAGCCACTGCTGGCTCACAGCTGTGCCTTTCTCAGAGCACTGTGCTGGCCAAAAGGGAGCCGCCTCACTCAGAAGGTTATGTCTCCTCCCCAGGGGCAGCCTGCACCCAAGACTGGCCAACGTCAACCTGCGAAGACCTGGCCCCTTGTTTTGATTCCAAACCTCTCCAAAGGGCCCTCTCCCAGCTCCGGCATTCTTTGAAGTCAACTTCTCCTGCAGACCAATTCTACTTCTCTTGCTTCTTTGCAAGTTGTGGTTGTGAGAGCACTCCCCAGTACGACTCTTGCTCCCGTGGATCTTAACTGTCTCAGATGAGATGGAAGTGGGCCATCCAGGTAGGCATGAACCAGGTGAGTCACCTGCCAGGTGAGTTACCCCGACCTGCAGACATGTTGTTTGGGAGAGTAAGGACCCTAGACTGGAGGAAGGTGATGAGGATCAGTTGCGGCTTTGAGTCCAGTTGTAGGTGCAGGGCTGTGGTTTGCCCCACTTGCTGCCTTTTTGTGTTTCCCTGGAAAAGGAGACCATTCAGAATCCCATGGGAGCTTTCTCAGATGGGGCAAACTTACTCTACAAGTGATGGCCAGAGAGCATCAGAAAGCTGCATGTGTTGATGGCCCAGACCTCCCCTAAGCATGGCACTGTTTTTGTGCCATTGCCTCTCCCTGAGCTCACAGCTGTGGCTGCATGGGGTTGGGTTGTTCCCAAGATGCAACAGTTGATGGAGGAGGAAAAAGACCAAGTGCTTCACAGATGGGTCAGCATGGCGTGTGGTACAGGTCACAAATACATTGCATTTCATCACAGCCCTGCTTAGGGGTGGCCTTGGACAACTGTGGCAGGGGAAATGCTTTGGGCAGTGCATCTGGGCATAGAGAAAGAAACGACATCCTTAAAATAAGAATATATGCAGATGAGTGGGCAGAAGGAGGTAGCTGGTTTCTCAGCATCTTGGAAGGAGAAAGACTGGGAACAAAGAGGACTGGGAAGAAGGCAGGTGCTTGGACCCACTGGAGTGGGTATGAAGTGTGAAGATCTCAGTGTCACACGTTAACACACACCTGAGAGCATCTGCCAGGAAAGGGGCACCAAGCAGACGTAACGACTTGGCCAGTTGTCATTAGCCAGCCTCTGCATGCACCTTCACAGGGGCACATGAACAGCATGGCCCCGGTGGCCAAGATGCATGGGGCCAATCGTATGCATGTCCATTCACCAAGGCTGATCTAGCTACTGCCCCCGCCAGGTGTCCAACCTGCCAGCAGGAGACCAGCACTGAGCCCCCAGGACAGCAGCTGCCCTGGACTAGACCAGCCTGCCACTTGGTAGGAAATGGCCAGTGATTCATCCTGACTAGAATAGACACATAAACTGTGGGTTATGGACTTGCCTTTCCTGCCTGTAGTGCTAAAGCCAGCACGATGCTCTGATTGCTTACAGAATGTTCACCCACCTGCACGGGATCCTGCAAAACATCACATTCGACCAGGGGACCTCCTTTCCCACAGAGGAGGTGTGACAGTGGGGATATGAGCGTGGAACCCACTGGCCCTGTCATGTGTCCACCACCCAGAAGCTAGTGGCCTTGCAGTGATGGAGGTACAAGCTTTGAGATGGGATCTCATGAGGTTGGGGTGCCATCCTCCAGGACTTAGTACACCCCCTAATCAATGCCTGGTGCTGTGGTCCCGACAGATGGCATATATAGGGCTGGGGAACGTGGTGTGGACGTAGGAGTGGCCCCATTTTCTTCATTCCAGTGACTCACATAAGGAACTTAAACTGCTGGTCCCTGAAACTCTAGATGGGCCTAGGGGTCCTGGTTTCCAGGGGGGATACTTCCAGCAGGGAAAACGGCAAGAACCCCTTTAAGTTATGGCTACTGTTAGCCTATTCTGGGTTTCTTGTGTTAAGAGACCAGCAGCCAAATAAAGGGGTCACCTGGCCAGGGTAGTTGACCATGATTATCAGGAGCAGGTGGGGCTGCTGTTACATGAGCTTTGGCTCCTAGGTGACGCAGAGGGGTGACCCCTTGGTACTCCTCTGCCCAATCCTGATGGCAAACGGAAAGTTCAACAGCCACAGCCTGAGAGCATGGCCACCATAGACCCAAACTTCTCCTGGATGAGGTTCTGAGTCACCTGCCAGGTAAGTTACCCCGACCTGCAGACGTGCTGTTTGGGAGAGAAGGGACCTTAGACTGGAGGAAGGTGATGAGGATCAGTTGTGGCTTTGAGTCCAGTTGTAGGGGCAGGTCTGCGGTTTGCCCCACTTGCTGCCTTTTTGTGTATCCCTGGAAAAGGAGACCATCCGGAATCCCGTAGGAGCTTTCCCAGATGGGGCAAACTCACTCTACAACGGAGGTGATTGAGCAGCACAAAGGTGGACTACAGTGGACACTGGGCTGAGTTCTTCTGGTTGTCCCTTAGGGTCTGAGCACTCCTCCCTTCAGTTGCTGGGCATGTTGGCTGTTGAGCCACTGCTGCGTCTTCCAGGAGAATGGACCCTCGTGGAAGGACGCTGCTGCACCCAAGCTTGGGCCACCTTCTCGATGTCAGCGTACATCCCGTGACCAGTTGGTACCGGAGTGCACAGACCCAGCTCCTGCCGAGATTTGGGATATTGCTGAAGACCCATCTCAGTTTCGGGGTCCTCTGCCCCATCACAGCTAACTTCTCTCTCTGCCCAATCTGACTTCTCTCACTTTATTTATTTACTGTTGATAAGAGCACCCCTCAACAAACTTCCAACACACCAAGCTCTATCTCAGAGTCAGTCTCCCAAGGAATGCAGGCGTGTCCTTTTCTCTACCATTCTTTCACCTACCACTTCTCTTTCCCCCCATTTCCCTTATGCATATGCTGATCATATATCCCAGTTTTCTGGGGACAGCCCTCTTTTACTCTTGTTAATCTGGTTACCCACCTGGTCAGTATCCCCTTTCATTCTCAAATGTTTCCTGGTTTAGACTCTAAGTTATGTGATCGTCCTACTAATTCATCTCTTCTTCATCACATACACATTCTTTATGCTTATTACATTTTACTAGGTGCTGGGAATACAGAATTGAATAAGAGATTCCAATCCTCTGAGCCCACGCTCAAAATTCCTGTTGAAATTGCCAAAGGAATATTATAATAAGAAAACCCATTATTGCTGGAAACTAGAGAAAGGTGCCGTTCTCATACAATAAACTTCAAGGAATTTCTCTGAGACATATTGCAGGCGCGACTGGATTGAGGGGACCTGCCGGGACAGGTGTTTCCTTTGTGTTCATTTCATGTATTTTCTACAGATGAAAAGGTACCTAGGGACCAGTGGAAGTCGCCCCACCAGCATGCCCTAACCCAGAGCAGCAGGACGGAGAGATGGGGTGGGGAGCTTTCAGTTCCACCTGTGCCTTCGAGCTGTGCGCTGGGCACGGTGGGATTCTCAGGGTGAAGAGACTGCCCCGACACTCGTAGTAATATTCATCTGTTTGGAGATGCACCTGTACACAATGTGGAAACTGCAGGGGTTGGCCCAAAAGAGGACAGAAGAGCTCTAAGTAAAAGATCGGTGCCAGTCAATACTGGGTTGTTATACTAACCATGAAATAAAACTCTCAGACATAAATATGAAAATGCATGATCATTCTAAATGTTTCTCTGCTTCCTTCATTGAGGCCTGGAGGATCTTAATAAAAATCCATCCAAGACTCCATCTCAGCTCTCATTACCTGAAAACAGAATAAAAACTTGCTAAAACAGATCATTATTGCATGTCACAGATGAAGAGACTAAAGCCTGCAGATGTTAAGTAGCTTGCCCTGAAAATTCAAATTGACTCCCCTCTGTAGGAAAAGCAAGCACTTGATATGCAAAGCCCTTCGACTGATAAAGAGAACTGGTAGTTTCAAGAAAGAGATCAATCTGGTGAACCAACGTAGAACTATTGGAAAATAATATTTTTAAATGACTTTTAAGCAATTGTCTTCTCAATGAGAATAAAAATGCTGGGAAGCTAACACTTAAACATTCTATAAAATGATTCTAAAGGTTACTTGGGAATTATTACAAGCAGAACTGTAATGGTGGAGGTGTAATATCTCTGTAAAAAATGAAAACCGACTTTTATTATAGTTTTCTCTTTCATATTCATGTGCTTTCTGAAAATTGACTTAAATACTGCTGTTAACTAAGAAATGTATCTAAATGAAGAACTGAAGACTATATAGGTTGTTATTAAAGCAACTTTTCTGAAAAAAGAAGAGATTACAAGCACATGTCAAAGCTTTATTTCAGATTTGCCATGGGGAAAGTTATTGAGCTAGCCATTTCAAAGACTTTTCTCTTGGAAGAGAAATTTACAGAAAAATACAAAAAGGAGTGCCAGTTAATATTATCAGGGTCCTCTCAAGACCAACTTCTTAGAAGATGCTCTTAGTCTTAATAAAGTCTATCAAAAAATTGCTCAAGAACAGTAACTTTTCCAGACAGACTTGCAAATTACATCACATAAAGTTCTCCAAAGCATACTTAGTACAATTTTCTTTCTTACCATGCTACAAAACATGGTGAGGTGTGATGGCTAAATCAGCTCGCTGAATGGAGAAAACAGAATCTGGACCACTATTTTAGACCATGGCGCAAGTTAATCACACACGCATGAGATTAAGCACATGAATATGGAAGAAAAAACTACAATGCAAGTGGAGGGAAATTTCTTTGTGATTTGGGGGTGCAGAAAGACTTTTTAAATCAAATGCAAAGCACAAAAATGGAGGGGATTGCTTATATACAAATAAGGCATTTCTAATCAACAACTGACAAAGTTATGCACAAATGACAGGTTAAGAGATATTATAATATTAATATTTGTAATATCTAAAGCTGACAATGGATTAACATCTAAACATACAAGGTGCTCCTGTAAGTCATCAACACCAACAGCACAAGCAAAAGCAACAATAAACTCTGGAGCTGAAAAACCCAATGGAAAAACACGTAATGCTATAAATAAATGCTTAACTGGGTTGGGGTGGGGGACCAAAATGGCTAAAAAGTATCTGAAGAGATGCTCAATTTTACTAGCAATCAAAGAAGTAAACATTACAACAACAGCAAGACATATCTTTATACTCATTAGATTGGACAAAATTAGAAAGTCAGGCACTATCAAGTTTCTGGTGCATTGTTGATGGGAGTGTAAGCTAGAAACCTCTTGAGGAATAAATACAAAGCAGAACACAAAATGCAAATATTCAACTGTGGCAATGAGAAATAAATTATTTCTGATATAGAAAATTAAAGTTAGAGCAGAAACAGTTCTATGGTAATGCATTTTACAATACCAATGAAATAATTTTCTAGGAGAATAAAAATTACCCAAATATATTCAAGAAGAGATTATTAATAGAAAACCTGAATAAATCAATAACCATCAAATGAATTAGATAACTTATCAAACACTCTATGGGCAAATTCTGTTCATTGAAAGACAATATAGATCTTGTGCTATAGATCCTAAATCTGAATATAAGAAAGGATAGAAATTATTTTTATAGAGCTTATATAACCCTGATACTGAAATAAAATGTGCTAGTTAGGGTTTAGTGCAAGGAATATAAACTGTTCTGAACATCATAAGCAGAAATCGATTTGATGAAGAGAATTGAAGATTGCAAAAGTATTGGAAGAATTGGAGAGGCAAACTCCAAGCAGGACCTTCTGGTATGACCCACAGAACACCAAAGAAGTTAACCTCTAGGACAGAAAGGTACATAAGAGGGGGTGAAAATAAATGACAGCTGTCAAGCAATTAAATACACAACCCACCTGCAAAGATAACAATAGAAAATTGTAGATCACATGCTATCTTTTCCACTGGAATATAAATTTCACAAGGGCATGAACTTGGTGTTGTTTACCATAGTGTCTATCCCCAGCAAGGTGAGTATTTGATAAATTTCTGATGAATGGATAAATGATTAAATGATTGACCATGTTGGATTTATTATAGAAATGCAAAGATAGGTCAGTATCAGTAATATATAGATTGTTAAGTATGAAATGTCCAATTTCTTTAAGTACTAAGTTTTAGAGTTGATATCTCTGACATTTCACTTTGACACATCTAGTTTTATTTTTATTGTGAAGGTACATCCTCAGTCTTTTAGCACATTTTGGTTTGTGATAATCTTTCACATTTTTTAGAGCAGTTTTTGTGAAACCATGAATAAGTCAAAAATTTGTGGTGTTTTTGAATACAAGTTCTGTTGTAGAATCAATGCAGCGCAGACAAGTCAAAATATCAACAAAGTGTTTGGGAAGGATGTGGCCAATGAATGCACAGTATGTCAATGGTTTGAGAAGTTCCCTTCTGGTATCTCGAAAATGAGCCACATAGGTGACCTAAGACCAAGGTGAATAATAATGAGCTGAAAGCTGTAGTGGAAATGAATCCATCTCAACCTATGTGTGAATTAGCAGCAAGGTTTGACATTACTATTCCAATAATATTGGACCATTTCAAACATGGGCAAGGTAAAGAAGCTAGGCAAATGGGCTCTGCATGAATTAAATGAGCTTCAGAAGAGAAATCGTCTTGAAGCTCACCTTTCTTTGCTGTCATGACATAAAGGTGAACCATTTCTACACCGTATTGTGTGTGATGAAAAAATGGATTTCTTTTGACAGTCGAAAGCATTAGGCACAATAGATAAAGATAAAGTTTGAAACACAGTCCCAAACCAAATATTCATCAAAAAAAGCTAATGGTGTGTGTTTGGTGGTCCAGCACTGGTATTATCCACTACAGCTTCATGTAGCCTGGTCAATCAATTCCAGCGGATGTCTACTGCAACCAATTGGATGAAATGACCAGGATGCTTGTGATTAAGCAGCTGAGATTGGTCAACAGAGACAGGCCAATCCTCTTGCAAGACAACGTTCTACCACATGTTGAACAAACAATGCTGCTCAAACTACAGAAGCTGGACCTTGAAACTCTGTCATCCACCGTATTCACCAGACCTTGCACCAACTGACTACCAGTTCTGCCAGGCTTTGGACCACTTCTTGCAAGGAAAAATATTCAATTTTCAACAAGCTGTGCGAAATGCCTTTCCTGATTCCATTGCCACTTGTGCTCTCCGGGCTTCTTGGCTGCTGGTATAAACAAGCTACATGGCAAAGATGGCAAAACTGTATCACTAGTTAAGGCACATATTTTGCTTAATTATGCTTCTGCTTGTTTGAGATATAATAAACTACACTTGATTCAAAATTAGACATTTCATATTTAATGACTTAATATAATTAATAACAATAACAGAGGAGAAAAGCTATATCCTAATAATTGCTAAAACATATTAGATATAATTCAATGTCTATTTGCGATCAAAATTCTTAGTAACCTAAGAAAAATCATTATTTCATAATATCTGACACCAATGGTCAATATAATAATGGCATATTACAAAATTATCCATAATATTCAGGTATAAAACAAAGTTTATCTCCAATACTTCTACTTGCCATTGTATTAGAGATCTTAGCCAATGCAATCAAACAAGTAAAATAAATAAGATGTATGTATTGGAAAGAAAAAGACCAAATTATCATTAAGCTGGTGATATAGTTATCTATTTGGAAAGTCTGACTGAATCATTTAAGAAACTACAAATAATAAGAGCTAAGATGACTGAGTGAATAAAAAACAACTTCCCTATATTTTAGCAATAATCAGGAAATATAATAGAAAAAACATATATTCACAAGCTACCTAGGAATAATTTAAACAAAATTTTTGCTAGAGCTATATAAAGAATACTACAAAATTTTACTGCAGGACATAAAATGCATGAACTAAGGAGCATCTGGTTTTCCTACTTTCCAAATGAGTCATAAGTTTCCAATTCTAATTTTAAAATCTCAATATTTATTTTAAAAAACACATACAGTTAAGATTATATATAGAGTAACATTTCACATTTTACAGGAAGTTATGAATTATTTAATAAATGCTATTGGTTCAACTAACAAGTTAGTGACAGAAGTTTAATTTCCAACTCTTAACATAAACCAAAATAAATTCCAGATGGCACATAGTTGATACATAAACAGCAAAATTTTAAATAAAGGAATGAATGAATTAAAGATGTAAATGTATCTATAATTAACCTCCTATTTAAATTAGCTTTCTAAACTTTGATGTTTATTGTTGTGAATAGAAC